TTGACGCCAAAATGAACTATAAAATATAGTGAGATTATAGTTAATTCAACTATATTTTTCTATCAGTGTGATACGTCGACGAGGAAAAGGCTGTGACCGCAGGAAACGCAATAATTGTCCCCTTTCATTATAATTTACTGTTTATTTAAATGAGAACTTTGGGGCGACAGGCGCGGAATACATACATAATGCGCGCAGTACATCGCGCGCTACGCGATCGAAGGATTCGAGCGTGTCGTGAAGCGCGGCGTGTTTCCCACGCGCGTATCGCTCACGCTAATCGCGACTAAAGTCAATTGCGGGTAAACCTAAATTTAAATCGCCTCTCCCGCTGCCCTCTCCCGCCCTCCGTTTAATTACGCCTCGTTAAGGGTCTTGCGTCTGAAGCAAAATCGTGACTTGTGGAAAGCTCCGACGTGTGAGGGGGAGAGCGGAGCGGCGCGATACTTTTGAGAAGGAAAGCGGCTTGGCAACACTTCTTAACTCACGCGCGGAATCGTCCCGACGAGGAAATGCGATAATTAGAGATACCTGGTGGATACACATGTTGCCATACGATTTCTCACAGGTTAGATAAGGAATTTCATGTGTGCGTTAATGGACATAGGAATGGTCTCCCCCCTCCCTCTCTCTCTCTCTCTCTCTCTCTCTCTCTCTCTCTCTCGCCGGTATGATCGTGGAAGGGCGATTTACCGTGCGCAGCTCATAATGAGCTATGATTCTCTACCTGTAATGCAACTCTCGTTACACGCAACAACATCAGCATCACGTGAGCCTCCTCCCCCGTCCCTCTCCCCCGCCGTGGATATATTACAAGTGGCATTAGACTCTCTCATTGTTCCGTTACATCGCCGATGAGCCGCGTAATGTGAACAACGTTCATCACGATCTCCCGCGGGAGCAATTAATACCGCCGATCGTACCTCCTTCGACTCGCGACTTGCATCCTCCACCTTCCATTTTCCTTAATAAATCAGCTAATAGTAAAAAAAATAGCTAATAGTTAAAAATTATTAGTAGAAATTAATAAGAAAATTAGATATATCCATATCCATCTGTAACGCGTCCTCTACTCGAAATTTTATACAGCGTCGATCGGACGGAAAAAATTTCGCGGTAAAAATTACACGCGAATCGTATCTCTTTTTACAATATTTTTCCTAAAGCTGGACTGTGCGTTGGAGATTTGTGCAATTTTATTCTACAACTTCTTCAAAACCAAAAGCTGTCACATCACTAAATGATGACGTTTCTCTCTGCGATAAAATATACATGAAAATCTTTCCATAAATTAAACAAACAACTCTGCGCACTTAGCTCATGCAATGTATTATTATCAGTCGATGGGAATCAACGGGCGGGAATCTTTGGATCTCTCGTCATAAATCCATGGCCGATTCAAAGTAACAATTTCCATCGAGCGTAGCGCGTCGCCGCAGAGCCGGAGAAACGCCGCTCTCGTCTCGTCCAAGACCGAGTCGTTTTTTCCCGTCGCCACGTTGACACGAACTTGAGTTGCACAAAGTTCCCCGCAGTCACGAGTCGCGTCGTCGAGAGCGAATTAGCTGGCGGGCCCGTCGCTGCCCTCGAGCCGCCGGGACAATTTTACGCTCGCTCCTGCCGTTTGCTTCGCAACGACAGTCATGATCGTGCGATTTACGAACGAGTTACGCCGCGGAATCGTTGAAATGACGGTAATCAATGAATTGGCATTTCCCACATTCAGGGTACACCGGCGAATACCGCCATTCGCGCGTCCCCGTAAGGGTATCTCGATGGCCGCGGTAATGCCGCGGCGTTAGAATGATGGATAGGCGGCGGTTCGCCGCCGCGAGAGAGCCGAGTCGGCGTTGCGCGGTCGTTGAAACAATTATTAGTCGAGGCGAAGCGCGCGTACGACATACAAACGGCACGGGCTGTATGTCAAGAGCTGGCCTTTCCTATGCCAGCCAGACCCGATCACCGCGCCGAGGATTTCGTAAAACCGCCCGACATAACGGCACCCTAATGCGCGAAGCATGTCTCGATCTTTGCGAAGCGAGCCTCTGACCGTGGCAACCGACCGTGGAAGTACCGAGCGGAAACTAAAGCGACAGCACGAGCTGACGCGCGCGTGAATCTCGCAAAGACGGGGAACCAGAAGATCCCTGCGAAGGGCAATCACGAGTTTTCCGGAACGGTCATCGAAACCGCCGGCGAATCGGAAGAAACTTCTCGCGGTGGTTTCCGTATTTCTAATCTCTCATTTAATCCCCTACACTACGAAGAATTTGCTAATGAGACACACGTCTTGTCACTGACACGACGAAACGTATACTTTCCATGACGAAAACACGACAAAAGCCCCCCCCCCTCCCACCTGTGCCTATCAAGATCATTCAAAGACGTGCGCGCAAGCTCGCGGGCGAAACCGATGTGATGGGAAAGACCTCAGGAAGGCAGGATTCTCCTCCGGGTTGAGCACCGCGGTCGCGCCGCGTCTCTCGGTTGAACCATGGACCAGACAAAAGATCCTGGTTCTCACGACCACGCCCTCTCTCCCCGCCGTCGCCGGCCTCTCTAGACGGCGGCGCGATGCCTTCACGAAGGTGCCTATCCACCGGAAATTCCTGAAGCAGAGCCGCGCCGTGTATGCACGCGGTCAGGTACGGAACAGAACGGCGCGACCTCCTCCAAGTTCTCGTGACGCGGTAATAAATGGCCAGGGTGTATGCGCGAGGGCACCCTCGCGCCTACGAAACGGCTAAAAGTGCGAATTCCCGACGAGCGGACGGATGGACGGACGGAGGGCGCCTCTCGGCGACGCCTCGGGAACGGGATCGAATTTCCGCGAGGTCTCCGCGCTCGTGAATACTCACACACATACACACACCGGCCGTGCGAATGCCGGCGACCCCTGACCTCTGCGGGTCGCGGATCACGCGCGGCAAAAGTCCCGGCGCCGCGCCGACGCGCGTGTGCGCCGCTTATCTGTTATGCCGTGACGCGCGACGAGTCCGATGGGCGAGATCGCAGGGCGCGTCCGGACGCCGGCGACGCGACGGAATATCGCGGGGCGCGTTGTCGTTCTGAACTCTGCGACTCTGCATTCTGAGCTCTACACATTCAGAGCCCGCTCTACTCTCAACGAGAGCGAGAACGAGAGCGAGAGCGAGAGCAAGGGCGAGGACGAGGGCGAGAGAGAGAGAGCGACGGCGAGAGCGAGAGCGAGAGCGAGAGAGAGAGAGAGAGAGAGAGACTAATAGCGCGAGTTCTGATGGAATTCTACCTTTCTGCTTTCTGCTTCTTTCCCCACGTGTGAATCCTCCTTTATACGTCGCGCGTGCTCATAAAAAATAATACACGAAGCGTGCGGAGGAAAATATATATAAAAATCATACAAGATCTCTCTAAAGGGAAATAGGCTCGCACAATCGACGAGCACGCCCGACGGTAGGCATCGCGACGTAATCACGGGGGTACGTTTGTTTGCGAACATTACACGTCGCGTGCGTGCTGGTGAGAAATATACAAAGCATACAAAGTCCGTTCGGGTAGCTTTGGTCTCCGGAAAACGCGCTCGCGCTAACTATGGGACACTTGCGACGGTAATTCTCTGCGATCAAGCGGAATCGCGTATCCGCGTCGTGGAGGAACGATTGCCAAAAGCGCCTTTCTATTCTAATCGTACAATCGCGTCTCGAGTCGTCGACTCGTAAATCTCGCGGCGAGCGACTACCGGTTAGCGGCGTCCAATTTGAGCACCTCGCTCGAGAGGAGCGCACCGTCTCGCCGTGCTCTCTCTTTTTCTCTGCCTCTCTCTCTCTCTCTCTCTCTCTCTCTCTCTCTCTCTCGTAGGTACCGAAGGAATGCTCGATGACTAATGATTTACCGCCGAGTACTTGACCCAGCCGGGCGACAGGTCGTTAACTACCGGCCGTGCGTTCGAGTTAAACGTTATTATTACATCGGACCGTGCGGGGGGAGGGAAAAGAGACCTCGCGGTGATGTTCGATAGCGAGCGGTCGACTTGACGCGGAGACACGGGGACGACGACGCCGAACTACACGCGGCGAGGTTTCTTCTTCTTCTATAGGGAGAAACTGATGTCTTTTGGGTGCGTACTATCGCAGAAACGACCGAGATAGCGTTCGCGATACGATAGCGTCATTGTGACGTTGAATCCACACATTCGAAGGTGAATTCGAAAGGGTCAGCGCGTTAAAATGACGAAGCGCGATCGTTCCGACGATCGCTGACGCACACGCGTGAGTCACGATCGCGCGTCGACAATGTAGCGCGTTTGTTTCTCGAATCGATTGATTTATTCGATCTTGATTAGCTTTTCCAATGAGGCTTCAATAAGGTACCCCCGTAGCCTCTCTCTCTCTCTCTCTCTCTCTGTCTCTCTCTCTCTCTGCCGATCGCGTACGGATGCCGAGAGATTTATGACGCGACGATACTATGTAATTTAACGAACTTTTCTATTTTCGCCATTTTTAGCGGCGTACTCGATGCGGAGAGATACCTTTCGTATGACCGAGTCGCTCTTTGCGTTTTGCTTATTTTATACGAGGAGATGAATTTCCCACGATACACATACGACCCGGATAACCAGAGGAAGGCTTGCCATACCCGAGACGAGAACGTTACTTTTTTTTTTTCGGAAAAATCACGACTGGCTGAAAAATTCGAATGTTGAAAACGGTGAACATTGACGCAATATTAATACGCGCTCGTAAAAAAAAAAAAAAAAAAAAAAAAAATAAATAAGGATCATACAGGGCGCAGAAAAATGCAGCCGAGTTCTTTCGACAGTCGGCATCAATCCGTCTATTTGAAATTGCTTCTGTCGGATTTTCCTTATCGTTCAAGTCGAATCGTACTTTCAGCGATCTTGAACGTCGGTACTTTCGCATCGTTTAGTTTAACTGATTTAATTTAGTTTAACTTAATTTAATTCAATAGTCAGCCGTTACCGGCACCGGCTGGAAGCCGCGCACTCGCTCCGATCAACTTACCGGTGTGGGTCCTCTTGTGCGCCTTGAGGTGCGAGCTCTTCGTGTAAACCTTGTCGCAGCCGGGTACATCGCATCTGTGAACCTTGCGTCTCTTCAGCGCGTCACCGCACTCGCTGTCGACACCCAAACCACCGCCGTTTCCGCCGACGCCGGCGTTTCCTCTACCACCCAGTCCGATGCCGGTCGCTAGCGTCGGGCGTTTGTGGAACACGCTGTAATTAGACGGTTAATCCCCCGCGAGCGGTTAAATGGCATGTTTACATTGAACAAACGTGAGAGATGGTAGACAGCCGCGCGCGGTGGTACCAGCAAGTCACTCTGATATTACTGCATCCGGACGGATGCACGATTTCCTCCAGACGATCTTCCTCGCGTAGAAAGCCGAGCATCCGAGCGAGTGAATACGGTGGTGGCTGATACGCGTACTTGAAAAATTAAATACGCAAACTGAGTACACACGAGTACTCAATTTTCCAAGTGTGTACGACGCCACGAGTCGCCACCGCGTAAAAATTGTTCCGCACATTCGTTCTGTGCTCCGCGAATTTTGGAGATAAAAAGGCGCCCGAAGAACTCGCTCGATCCGGTCGGAGACGGCGAGTTAACGTCATTGGAAACGAGAAGATCGGAAACGCGAGGTGATATTCCGCTGGAAGAAGTCGAGAGCGATTTATAAAACGGCATAACGCGACGCACCGCGAATTGTGAAGGACTCGGAAGGCCTGGGATCGCGTGTCTTTTTTGCGCCCGATAGCTCATAACTATACACCATGCACTCGCGATGACATTGATTGCGACGGGCATACGGGCATACGAGCGACAAGAAATTCGACGCTCGAGAGCGCCGGTCGTTGCCAATTTTAATTCCGATATGGACGAGAGAGACATCTTCATCGGGCTCGTTTTGCGCCGTGCATCGACTCGATCGTGTGTCCCGCGGTAGATGTGATCTCTCACTCTCTTCTCTCTTTCTCAAGACGCGCGATTAAAGCGCGTTATCACGAATTGTTAAAATTTCGAAAACTAACTTTCATATGTTTCCGTTATCCCTTGAGTCTAAATTTCCAACTCGATGCTTTTTCTCTCGTCTTCAAACGCAATTTTATTTTCGTACTGGTGTATCCGTAGAAAATCATCTTCCTGACGTCCTGAGTATTCTATGCGAGCGATAACACCATTTTGCATTGACAAAAGAATATAGCCAAAAATTTCAAATTACACTTTTGGCCAAAGCGATGTGATAATTGGATAGACTCGACACCGGCGGAGCGAAAAGTACTCCGTTAATCGCGATGCTTCGTTGGATACACGAGAATAATTTCATTGTAATAACAAATGACGTCTTATTTGCAATGTAAAGTAGTCGGTCGCGAGTCGCGAAGGAGTACCTTCTTACGAACGCACGAAAAACTGAGCGATCCTGCGAAAGCGCAGCAGACCGATCCGATCCGATCGACCGACCGATCGATCGATCGATCGATCGGCCGGTCGGTCGCTGGAAACAAGAAAGGCGTATCGGTCCGGCTCGATCAATCTCAACTTGACACACTGAATTCTGGCGGGGCTTGTTTTTCCGCGATAGCCGTACGTGATATCGATATAGATCTCGGCTCGCGTTTCTTAGCGCACGCCGTATTAGTACCGGTCAATTTGACGCGGCGCAAAAATATTCGCGAATAAAGGCGAGAGGCAAACACCGACGACAGACGACCCGGAGCGACAGCGTCGGCTCGCGAAAACCTACAAGTGAGAAAAAGCGAGCACACCCGAGCGATCTGGAGCCGCCGTCGATTTCGCGCGGAATGAGGTAACGACGAATCGAAGCGCGACCCGCTCATTCGATCTCACTGTCTCGTGACTTTTTTTCTCAAACAATAATACAATTATAAGCGCGCTGCAATTCTTCCGTCATCGTCGCGGCTCGCGGCCGCGTGAGGCCGCGTTATTCGACGCTTGGCTCTATTTATATCTCGCATAAATTCGTCGAGCCGTAAATAACGGAGCGCGATACCGATCTACGATCTACGTGGCAGCTGGATCGCGACCGCCTGGATTTTGAAGTCGGCTCGATAAAACCGCGTCCCACGGTCGCGCCGTATTTCATCGAGGCCGCAGTGCGAGGCCTCGCACCGTTCGCGCTATAAACGCGCACGGTACGGCGCGTTGTGCCCGACTGTACTGACGTAAATCCGTTTGCAGACGCGGTAATCCGGCTCGCGCCGCTCTACCTTGATCCGCTCTTCACGGAGGAGAGCCGAGAGAGGAGCGTTGTCTCTTTGTTGCTCGCTCGCCCGCGCGAGTTTCTCTGTCGCGATGTAAACGCCATCAGCGAAAATCAGATATTCTCCGCTGCGAATGACTATCTCTCTCTTCTCTCTCTCTCTCTCTCTCTCTCTCTCTCTCTCCTTCTCTCTCGCAAACTTTTCCAACTGTGCCATACACGTCACAGTCCGTTAACCTGATGTTAGCGGATGGAAAATTACACGTCGACCGGCCACGTGGCGCGCAAACGCGTGTTTGTCGCGATGCATTTTACATGAAAAAAAAAAAGAAAAGAAAACGCTACTAGATCAACAGGTAAAAATACGCGCTCGCCGGTAGTTATTACTTTGTCGCGGTTGACACCGGTTGATAAATCCTAGTTTAAGAACAAACAAAAGAATGAAACGCGCCGATAGGGTATATCTGAGCGACGTCGCTCACATGGCGGATATAGCGCGCGAGTATAGCAAGGGTATAGCACGGCTCACAGGCTTGGGAGAAAGAAAACGAGAGAGAGAGAGAGAGAGAGAGAGAGAGAGAGGAGAGGAGAGGGCGGGAGAGGTTTTCGAGCTGAAGCACAACTCGAAAATGAGACTCGCGAGCTGCTGCTTCGATGACGGCGCGATAGGAAAAAGTTAGAGGCGCGACACGTGGTCGTATCGCCGCGGGTAAATCGCGCCGTCGTAAATCCGACGAGCCGATGAATAGACAAGAGAAGAGCGGCTGGAAGGTATACTTGTCGTGAAGTATTACCGCGAGCAGTTCGTCGCGGAGGAGTCCCAACCGCAGGGGGTGCGCGCTGACATGCGGGTACCGGTACCCGCGCGAAGGTACTCGTGTTTGCGCGCTCGGACGTGGACGCGCGTACACGCGCGGAGAGAGATAGAAACGCGAGAGCATGCGCGAGAGAGCGTGCGGCCGAGGGAGACGGCTGGAAATTTATATCGGACGCGCGCTTCCCAGTCGCGTTTCTTCGTCGTCGTGAACGCTGAAGACGCTGAACGAAACGGGACGCTGGATAACGCTGGATAGTCGCGGGACGAGCCGTGTAATTACGGTCGACGAGCGAACGAGCATCGCTGGGAATTTATGATTTTCGCGTCGAAACAGCCTAGATCGTGATTATCGCGACGTGAGCTACGTGATCGATGGCGCTTGACAATTCGGATAATTACATTTGCCGAGCGAATGTACGAAATTAATCGTCCAATTTTCCTGCACCGTGCGTACGTCGTTTTCGCGTTCTCCGCCCTCTTCCGCAAATCCCGTTTCTACTCGCGATTGGACCCACGAACCGAGGTTCGCGTGCCGGCTCCGGGAGGATGACGCTCCGGTGATCCGCAGGACGAGCGTGGTGGATCGCCGTCACGCTAATTGATCGAAAGCGGCGAGTCGAGAGATTACCTACGCGCGTGCTCGAGCAAAGAAATCGTGACGTGACGGGACGTGTAAGATGAGGTTTGTTAGCGTGCGCCGGGTGTCACGAGATTAGGTACTACGTACTTTCCTCGTACCCCCGGGTCGAGGCTGCTCTCTGTCGCGGGAGGTGCACCGGGCTGCCCGGACACAATGGAGAACGACAGTCGCGAGCTCGCGCGCGGCGAAGGGAGCGAATTAAACGAGATTTACGGAGCCCGCCGCACGATCTCGTCCTATTAACCCTGGACGTGCTTATACATTCGATGAAATATGGCAGTGCGCGCGAACCGTCGAACCTGTATACATTGTGTGTGTGTGTGTGTGTGTGTAACCGCCGATATCCAGCTGTTTCCGAGCGATTCCGCGGCGATAATAAAGTCAGCCTTCGCTTCGTACTTCGCGGCGAGCCCGACTCGCGCAGTTAGTCTTCACCTCGCGCCTCTTCGTCGTCACTCGCGCTTCAACGTGTTCGCATTTATTTATAGGTGTTTACGCAACGCTTGGCGGAGAGCGAGAGAGAGAGAGAGAGAGAGAGAGAGAGAGAGAGAGAGAGAGAGAGAGAGAGAGAGAGAGAGAGAGAGAGAAAGAGAGAAAGAGAGAAAGAAGGAACAGCGCAATTAGTCAACGACGCGATGCTCTCGTCGTCGTTCTTCCCCAAAGAAAAGAGTATGCACTTTGTAGTTGCGATTTACCTCGTTTCCCTCACCCGTTAATAAGCGAACTTTTAACGGCTTGAGTAACTAACGTCTGTCGTCGTGCGATCGCCGATACGCGCGTGTACGAGAGAACAAAGCGATTTCTTCGATCGCGGCGCTCGCCGGAGACGTCGTCGTCGTCGTCGTCGTTGTCGTCGGCAGGACGTTAAATTATTCTCGCATTGTCCGTCCGCGAGGGTTAAGCCTGGCTCGGCGCGATCGCGCCGCGCCGACGGCGATATCAATTGTCAATTAATCATTAACTTTTATTCTCTCTCTCTCTCTCTCTCTCTCTCTCTCTCTCTCTCTCTCTCTCTCTCTCTCTCTCTCTCTCTCTCTCTCTCTCTCTCTCTCTCTACACGCCCGGCTCTCTCGGTCGCACAGCGCGTCCAGCCTCCGACTTTCGAGAACGCTCACCCGCGTCGTTTCTCTTCTCTCCTTCTCTACCTACCTACCTCTCTCTCTCTCTCTCTCTCTCTCTCCCTCGCACGCGCACGCTCTTACGCAACGCGAGAGACACGCATGAGCGAGGACGCAACAGGTGAATAATACTTACAAAGACGCTTCCTTTATCCTCTGCAACGCGAGGAGGGCCGCCGACGAGGAAACGAAGACAGAATCGGGCGGCTCCATCACTCGCACCGACACGTCCCGCTCCCTCTCCCGCTCCCGCCGATCCCTGTCGCGTTCTCGTTCTCGTTCTCTCTCCCGATCCCGCGTCTCCCTCTCCCTGATCCCGGGCTCTCGCTCCCTCTCGGAGGGCTGGCATTCCCTCTCGTTCTCGCGGCTCCTCTCGCGCACCCTCTCGCGCTCGCGCTCTCGGTTCCTCTCCCGGCTCCGGTCTCGATCGTGATCTCTGTCCCACGCTGTTTCGCCCAACGACACTGCAAAAAGAAATCAAACGCTCGTCATACTCCCTCTCGCTCCGTCGTCACGCTCCGTTTATCTGCACATTCGTCGCCCGGCGACGCGGCGTCTCGGTATCGGGAATAGGGATGCCGATTTTTCTTCAAACAGATCGATTTAAAGGTCGATTCGAATCACGGAGAAAAAAATCGATCTTTAAAAAATCGGCTTGTAAAGAATCGATTTCAGAAAATCGATCTGAATCGGTATGCATGTAGAGTGAACCACTCATTAAAGTATATCATCTGTCAAATTTCTACACTCTAAAGTAGACCTCGTGTAATTCATATAAAGTTTAATATGAATTAAAGAAATTAAATAGATGGTACTCTATTGGTTGTGTTGTGTGTGTGTGTGTGTGTGTGTGTGTGTGTGGCCAGAACAAGATAGAAAAAGATCTTTAAATCTTTATGTTAAGGATTTAATTAGTTTGATTAAACGTCAATCAAGGGTTTTAACGTTCTAAATATTATTAAATAAGAAATCACGTTTACTATTATATACATATGCATATATATACAATGTATACTATTATATGGAGTGGCTGTAATTGGTTGGCGCATTCTGTTCCGCTGAAAATTTCCGTCCATGGAACATCGGCTTAAAGGCAACGTAATGTGCATTGTGCAGCCATTGAGTGAACTCAAATGTTACAAGTAAAAGAATTAAAAGAAAAAAAAAAAACTATATTATTAGTAGAAATCGTGAAAAAATCGTGTTGGCGATTTTCAGAACTTACAGATCGATCCTTGAATCGATTTAGTTCCAGAAAATCAATTTGAAATCGATCTTTTAGGTTCGGATTAATCGACCTTCGATTAAATCGATTTAAAATCGGCATCCCTAATCGGGAATCGTCCGCGGAGCGATCGCCTCGGCGCAGCCGAGGACGTCGTGGCAGCATCTCTGCGCGCAGAAATTTCAATTAATATTCGTAACGGCGCGGGCGGCGCAGCCCGCCGATAAATGATGTCGGGGAAAGACTCGGTCATCGATAAAACGTGTCGATCGGTGCTTTATATAAAAAAGGCAGACACAGAATCTGATACATACGAGTGCGTATATGCGTCCCACCGTGTGCGCGTCACTCGCACACATCGGCGGACGGAAAGCAGCCGGAATGCAAATTCACGGCCGTGCGGAAGTCCGCGCTTAGCGCAGCTTCGCGCGCGCGCGCGCGTTGTGAATCCAAACCGGATCCCCCGCGATAAGAATCGGCGATTTAACGGAAATTCTAACGGGGAACATAAGTCACTCCGCGCTAACGACGCGCAACGATGTGCCAATACGCGGAAGGATATGCCCGTTTAAGAGAGAGAGAGAGAGAGAGAGAGAGAGGGAGAGGGAGAGAAAGAGGGAAAAAGAGGAAGAGAGAGAAAGGATCCTGTGTGTCTTCGCGGATTGGGAACCCATTTCTTAGAACCGGTATCACACCTACTGTCCAACTTGATTACGGTGTTTTCGCGATAATTACGCGGTATCTCTCGCATCGTACGCGTACGCGATGCGCCGTGAGAAAAGAGCGGGAGGGGGGAAGGGGCAGGTAATTGCTATTATTTCTAGCCGGAGATAAAATTGTGCACGGCACCCCGACGTGTGTTGCGCGAAGACGAGCCGCGAGGACGAATAATAATGGGAGCACAGCGTGTGTAAATGCCCCCCCCCTCTCGTGTCGGACGTGTGTTCGCTACTTTGTGCGAGCGTGCCGGTCGTGGTCGCAGTCACGATACCGTGCCCTCGATCCATCAGCGATCGAAGGATCGAAGGTCGATTCCGAGCGAGCACGATGCACTCTGCTCTCCTGCGAGAGCTCGCCCGCTGAATAAATCAGCGACGCGCGCGCGCGCGAACGGCTCTCGCTTTTTCCGAGCTTGGCTCCGGTCGCCGATCCGCTCGCGAGTCCGCCCTTTCTTTCGTTTCTTCTGCCGCGCGCGCGTGCGCGCGCGCAACCCATACTCTCGCCGTGTCTCTGAAAAATCAACAGCACCGCGCTTGATTACCGTGTTACCGTGGAACATCGCGATTCACCTCGCTGTAGCCGAAGAAACTTTCGGCGACCTCCGACCTCCGGCTGACAACGCGCGGGCCGACGATGCGCGCAGCTCGCGCCTCTCGCGCGATTTGTGCGCGCCGACCGACAGGCGTGTTAAACGCCCGTGACATCGCTGTTACTAATTAATACGCGCCCTAGCCGCGGCCAATACATTCGCGAGGACCGAGCGGACAGCCGCGGCCGCGGCGAGTCGGCGGAGCCGATCGCGCCGCCGACAATATTTTGACCGGCCCTTCGCGCGCGCGCGTGCGCGCGGGGTCCGATCTCGGCTCGGTGGTGCCGCCTGTCGAGCATCGCCACGGCATGTAATCGATGTAAAATCGTAATTTGCAGGCTCACCTCGTTACGCGATGGCGGCGACGGATGCTTGTTTGCCGATAAACATGTAATTAGCGCCGCGTAATCCCGATTACACCGAAACCGCCGGCTGCCTTTGTGCCCATTTATTCCCACGATTCCATTCAATCGTCCGATACGGGGAATTAGAACTGCATCGTTTCGCGACTAATGGCGCCGGTTAATCGAGTGAGCCTCGCGGACAAATCGATCTTTACTGCCGCGTGGAATTGCGTCATTGTGTGATTCCACGGGCGATTTGAAACACACAGACAGGCGCGCGCGCGCGCGCGCGCGTCTCCGCGACTTGCGAGATTTACGTTAATGATGGCGTCGGCCTTTGCCGACGCGTTTGCATTGCAGATTTCACTTTCAATTCAGGAAGCAGCGCGCGTTCATCAGCGTTATCGATCGCCATGCCGCGCGATGCTGGCCAAGAGATATGAGGGGGGTGCTGCTCCCCCGTGGAAAAGAAATTCTCCCGTCAGCCTCCGGCAGACGCTGAGGAGGCCGGCTAAAAATCGACGTATCGACGTTATAAGCGAATTATGCTATCACCGTGGAGGAGATGCAAATCTCCTCGGGCGCACGGCGTCCGCGCGCGAAAATCTATGCCCGCGCCGATACGTCTAAATTGACTCGAGCCGATCGTACATTCAGGAGTTACGCGACAGCGCGCCGAGTTAGCACGTGGCGCACGCTCGTAAGTTAAACGGTACGTTCGTGCGGAACGATCGCTTAAGAGCCGACGCGATATGAAACCTAATGCCTCCCTCTCGTCCTCGCGAACTCGCCCGGCCGGCCGAGGGGCGCGCGAACACGAGCGCGGCACGTACCGTTGCCGCGTCCTCCAAGCGCTTCTTATGACATTACGCGCGCGCGTGTCTCGTTACGTCACGTATCCCGTATCACGGATTCGCGTGGAATTTACGCGGCGGGTCCGTGGTGCGTGCGTGCGTGCGTGCGTCGCGTCGCGTCGCGTCGCGTCGCGTCGCGTTGGACGGCGCTCGACTTCCCCGGGAAATCGGAGGTCGAAACTCGACGAGAACACGCGATGTGCCCGCGTGCGATATTCCTCCACCACCGCCACAATTTTCCCACATTTTCTCTGGCCTTCGTTGTATGTTAGAATTTTGCTTCTTTCATTTCTGTGCCCAACAGAGAGCGGAAGACATCGCAGACGGCGGCCGGCGCTGTTTGCACAACGTTGTATTGTACCATAATCGCTTGAGGTATTTTCGGGCAAATTTTTGCCAAGCCTTATCGCAATGTATGCTGGAACTTTGGGAAATTCGTGGAAATGTTTTCGTGCCTTCATAACCGACTTTGCGTTTCGATCTCCCGCTCGCTTTAGTGCGTCCACGGAAATCTTGTAGTCGGTCTCTCTCTCTCTCTCTCTCTCTCTCTCTCTTTTTTTCTCGCTCACATGATCGAGAGGCACCCTCGAATCGAGGAATCATTACGAATTCAGCCACGGTCGGGCCACGAGCTGGTAACAGCGGTATTATTAAGTGCAATTTCCGTACATGCCGTGCGGGCGGCTTCGCTTAATTAGCCGGCCGCTTCGGACACTTTTTCTCGTCTCCCTCGCCGCCCCTCCCGTCGAGTCTCGTTCTGGGCGTCTCGTTAGGGCCATTAACTCCTCTCTCGCGGTTCTAGTTGAAACCTATGATCTGCGGTATCTAATGGGACACGCACTCGTCGGAACTCGGAGCGACCTGACGGAGGAACGCCTCGGTCCGACCTCGGACCGGCGACGCGCCGTTCTCGCTCTCCTCTACTCTTTTCCAGATTCCTCTCTCCCTCTCTTTCTTCCTTGTGCTCGCGTTACCGAGCGCAACGTTGCGTTACGTTGACGCGATTAACCGCTCAAATAAAGCGGTTAATTCACTCTCGCGTGAAAATATGGATCGGCGTCGCTCGCTGTCGCGGGGACGCGTTCAATTATGCCGAGAATCGGCTTCCGGCACAAAGTTGAATCAGTAAGAGCGAGAACGGTCGCGCGCGTGCGAGCAGCCTGCTTCCGCTAATTTCGGGGTTAATAATTCAGCGTCTCTCTCTCTTGTCCCACATCGTAGCCACCATTTATAACGCGCGCGCGGTCGGGCAAGGAGACTTCGTCTCTCATCAATTAGCGATTTCACCCCGTGCGCTCGATTCGACGGTTATTGTGAGTGCGACTGTGGCTCCCGGCTCGTTTAATCATTCGGCGAATTCTCGAATACATAGACCGAGCCTCTCTCTTCTTCCGCCTCTTCATCGCGGAGGCAGCGGGCCGCGCCGAGGGGAGACTCATTCGCCCATCCGTCTCGCATTCACTACTTCGTCGCCTCGCCCACGCCGGCAACGGGGTTAATCCTGAGCATTACCGGTAATAATGCGGTCTTAACGCGCGTTTTGCCTTTCCGTCCGTTTCACCTTCGTCTTGTTTCCATTCCCCTCTCTCTCTCTCTCTCCCTCCCTCTCTCCCTCTCTCTCTCTCTCTCTCTCTCTCTCTCTCTCTCTCTCTCTCTCTCTCTCTCTCGTCCTTCCATCCTCCGTCTCACCTTCGAACACTTCTCCCTTTTGCTCGCGCGCGCGCGCGAACGGGAGAGAGAGAGAGAGAGAGAGGCTACGTCCGGGGGGTAATTGATAATGTTAAACGCCGAGGTTAATC